TTTTTTTTTTTTTTTTTTTTTTTTTTATCACTAAATCAGCCGATCATGTGACTAATTTTCTTGTTGTTTCTATTTGCAATTGTGTAATTTGGATGGTATAATGTTCCACAGCAAGTTAAGCACCTCTGATATTGATGTGAGAACGTTGAAGTTCTTACTTGCTCTTCTCCGTAGCTACAAGCTTTCTGGAGTCGAAAAGGTGAAGGGATTCTGCAGAAAACTAATATCTGAAACATTGGTGATCATCTCGTGCATGAAACATCTTTATGCATCTAATGAGATGGAGGAGGTCATCTTGGAATTGGAAAAGCTTTTTATCTCAGGACCAACGGCCTCAGATGCTCTGTTATATGAATGCAAATCAGGTTTGGTTCCTTTCTTGGCAGGACTTGCACACATTAAAATGATAGAAACCGATGATAATGCAAAAAGCTGTGCTGTGTGGGAGTTATATCATATGTTATTTAAAGAGCGGCATTGGGCATTTATACATTTGGGGCTAACAGCTTTTGGATATTTTGCCGCACGTACTTCTTGTGATGAGCTTTGGAGGTTTGTGCCACAGAATGCAGCTCTTTCATACGATTTAGAATCAGGAAAACATGTAAATGAAGAAGGGTTTATGTTAGAGTTCAAAATATTTCTTGAGAAGGAAATGGCTCTCCTCACAGTAACACCGAGCGCAGAGCAGCTAGCACTGCTTATGAAAGAAGGGCTACTGTTAAAAGATAAGTTCAATACGTTACTAAAATCATGTGGAAAGGGTATCGAATGTAAGAGCATGGAGATTGATGAAGGACCATCTAGCAGGAAAAGAAAGCTTCCTGAGGGTATCAGCAAGGGAATGGAATTGCTAAAGAATGGATTAAAGTTTATGCGCCAGGGTCTCTCACTGCTGGAGGCAAATCATGTCGATTCCAGAGAACTTCATAACAAGCTTTTGAGTCACTTTTCTGGCCTTGAAGATGAAATAGATCGTCTAGACAGCCAGGGTGGGGTTTATTAAGTCAACCTCAATTCCAAAGGTACACTATTCTTATGAATAGAATTGTTTGTACTTGTCAGCATGTATAAATAAATGTATTTTGTACTACTACATCGCTTTTATTTTTATTTACTTTTAATGAGGTAGGGGGATATCTTAAACATAGCCGTGTAATCGTGGCTTCAAATAAATGGAGAAGTTTAAATTCTATTTTCAAATTGTTAATGCCTTCTTTTTCTCTTTTCCGTCAGACCCAGAAAAATCCAAGAGTATGGCTTGCGTCAGTGATTTATGTTCGTGCTATCCTTCTATTGCAGAATGAACCGAATGCCAGTTTCCATTGTGTTCATCAGTCCTAACATAATGAACCATATTGATTCGAGCTTCAGTGGTGAGGCCGAGAAGTAGACTGCCTTATAGCTTTCTTTGGTGCCAAGGTCTCAGAAAGGTTTTTTGCTACTCGTCTTGGTAATCATCTCTCCAAAAGTTGCTAGGTTCGTTCACGATTGATGTTGGTTACAAATCATTTCTCTTTTAAGATCACTCGAACTTTCTATGAGAACTATTTCTGCATCGAAACCATTGATGGCATTTCACTGTATGGGCCATTTCAGGCACTAGAATTAGTAGAGCACTTGTCGACTGTAGCAAAGCTTGGGAGAAAGTAGAAACGAATTATAGGATTTCTTGCACGTGTTGCATTTCTGTGTAGAAATTGAGGCGTCAATCCAGTATTAATGATAAGGCGACTGTGACGGACACCATCTTGTATTCTGAGGTATAATATCAAATCCCCTATTCCCCTTGAATTTAGTTTATCTCCGAGTGTTTCCCAAGTTGATTGATATAAATTATATTACCAAACTCTGAAAATGGTAAAAGTAGTTTCTATAGAAGTGATCAATAACCGTTTACCTGAGCACCACTAAACCGTCGGTATTTGTTTATTTATTTTATTTTATTTATTTGAAAAAATCTGGAATAAAGTAAACTATGTTGTATGTTTGATGATTGAGACCTCGCCTTTTGCTTGCCCACAGCTTTCAAACCTGAAAATGTCATCGGAGATCTCGAAGATTTTTAGCAGGTGGTTTCAGTGGACCCAATCAGTACAGGTATTCTGAAATTGTTGGGTTTTTATATTCAAAGCATGGGTATAGTTAATCGATAATCGTCTCTAATATCTCGTATTTCTCGGATCCCAAGGGCAGCACTTTCGTAATATTCTAATGTAGGAACTTAGATAAAATAAATAGTTGAAATTAGAATTTGGTAGATAATTCTTAATGATAATCTCTTTATTTAATTTTTTTTTTTCACTTTTTAGAAACGCTTTTGACGTCTTAATAAAAAATTGTTATTTTATTTTAAAATTTTGATCGACTAGAATTTTATAAACTATTTCAATGAAAGATTACAAGATGACTAGAAAGAAAATCACTATCAAAGAGTCACTGAACAATTATATTATATTGTGAGTGTGCTTACATGAGCACTAGCATGTGGTAAATTATTGTGCTTAGTACCACTCTGATAAAAGTTTATAGTTGCCGTGAAGTATTTCGCGACTACTGGCCTTGCAATGAAGTATTTTCGTGATAATTAAATTACACTGCCATGGGGCTAACTTGAATACCCTGTCATTAGAATTTTCATCATTTTCCTAGAGAAAGATCTTAGAAAACACGCGCCGCGTCTCTGCTAGTGGGTCTGCATCCATTTTCCTCTTCCAGATGTGCGATATGTGTCGAATTAATGGAGGAGCATGTAATCCTCTCTTGATTTGTTTACGAGAATATCAAGAAAAAGACAAAATAGGGTTCCTCTCTTGATTTGTTTACGAGAATTTCAAGAAAAGACAAAATAGGGTTTTCCTGATATGTGAGTTCTAATTTTTCAAAACCATTTCTTTTAACACAGTTTACTACATATTTAGCAACACAATATATGGATAGTGAACGTGATTATCAACACATTAAATGCCTATAAAGCTTGAGCTAGAGTGCCATCATTTACACAAGCATTTTCCTGTTTCCACTCTTCATGAAGATTCTCATTAGCATTCTGATGCTCATTTTCTTCCCATTTTTCACTGTTTTCATGTCATTATTACCTCCAGATCCACTGTATGGCATAGAATACGAAGTCCGTGTGATCAATGGCTTCACAAACAACTCCTCACTGCCTCTGGTGATATGGTGCGCATCCAAAGACAGTGATATCGGCGGGCGTGCGCTACAGGAGCACGATGATTTCAGTTGGCTCGTCAAGACCAACTTCTGGATTACTACTACCTCGCAATTCTCATGCACTGTCAAATTGGACCGCACAAGGAGGAGTTTCGATGCATTTAAGGTACCAAGAGATATTTACCGCTGTAGTGCTTTCAGGAAATGCTCTTGGTTGGTTATGGAAGATGGATTCTATTTCAGTGACGACGAAGTAAACTGGAAGAAGGAGTTCTCGTGGTAAATCCATTCCTCACCAGACCCAGCTAAGTTCACTCAACTCTGTTCTACTTCTCTAGTTTTTACTTTTACTGTCATGGTTTTGGCCTAGCGTAGTTGAGGAATGGATTACTATTTTGAGTTATATAAATGCGAGCGTAGCAAAGCAATTAGAATACCTCGATTATCTTAGCGCAACATCATCTAGTAAAAGTCCTTTTTCTCTTTGTTTCTTTTTTAATGATTTGGGTAGATCAAGTCTGTCTATATTACCGGTGTACCGTGTACTTTTTGAGTTTCTTAATAATAAGTAATGTTTGTTCAATTATCCTGTGGCTTATAATGGTCCGTAATTGCCTTTATTCGGTACTCTGCTTTTTGGATACTCTTGATCCCACAGACAGAGGAAACAGAGTGGGAATATATAATAAGAAGAAACTAATTTAGTTTCAGAGTCATCGAGCTTCTTAGATAGTCAGCGGTCCTTACATAATCAAGCTACTTTATTAGCATTAGCTAGCCCTTCCAATTTTCGAAAGTTTAGGAATAAAGCCGCAGCCATTAGACAAGTCCCGTAGTTTTTATAGGCTCAACCTTAGCCACAGCCAAACTTGTGGAGCAATGTTTGAGGATAAAAGAATTGCTAGGGGAGAGGAAGGAGGCTGCTAGTAGCAAAGAGAAGAGATAGCCATTGATTCTAAGCTTCTCTGATTTTGTTCACAGGGACATATGGCAGGCAGCAGTAGTAACAAAACGTTAGGAACCACCCCAATATAGTGTCCACTTTGAACATTATGGCTTTTACTTTTGGTTTCTCAAAAGTCCTTGTACCAATTCTTTATTTATAAATTCATAATCAACCTCTTGATTAGCATATGTGGGACTCCTCTCACGACAGTTCTCTCCTCAAACAAAGTACACCATAGAGTTTCCCCTGAGGCTTACAGTGCCCTCAAACAACCTCTCCGATGCTCGACTTCTTATTTGGAGTCCTTTTGACTACACCTTTGAGGCTTTTGTTTGACATTTAAGGATTCTATTGACATGACTAGGTGAAGGGAATGACTCTAATACTATATTAGGAACAATGTCACTCTACAATGGTATGATATTGTCCACTTTGAACATCATCTCTCGTTACTATGCTTTTAGTTTCTCCAAATCAAACCCTTAATTAGCGGATGCGGTACTCTTCTCCCATAACCATTCCAACCCCATGACTATAACTAAGTTAGTTTAATGGTGCAACCAATCTATTAAAAATAGTATATATCATTAAGGTTATGACTAAAAGCACAATCAGCCTGTGTTATTTGTAGGCTAAATGGAAACATTTAGAACCAGAAAAGTGGATAGTTTGGTTTTCTTAAACAGGTATTTGTAGATTCGTTTTTGGGGGATTGTAAAAGATATCTTGCTTGAAAAGACCAGACATAACATATCTACTACCGCACAAAAATGGGCAATTGAATTTCATGCAGGGCCCGGCCCCTGAGGCTACGCTAAAGATTTGCCTGACACGATGTACAGATTTCCTTCCTCCATTTGTTGCCGTGGACTGCAAATTTAAATTGTTGCCCAGTTTCGAGACTTTTTTTTTTTGCCATTTCTTTACCTACTCATCCTTCAACCTTTTCTTTCTCGTCGCCCTAGAATTTTTATAATACTTCTCGTAAGTCTCTTAAATATCCTCAAGTTTCCACTGTTAAACGAACACGACTCTCCACAATGGTATGATATTGTCCACTTTGAGCATAAGCTCTCATGGCTTTGCTTTGGGCTTCTCCAAAAGACCTAATTCCAATGGAGTTAGTATTCCTCACTTATAAACCCATGATCACACCCCCTAAATTAGTCGATGTGGGACTTCTATCATCCAACACCTCCCCTCGAACAAAGTGTGGCTCCCCTTAATCGAGGCTCGACTCCTTTGGAGTCTTAGTCATTTTTGACGGCCTTCGAGGAGGGGCTTAGCTCCTTTTCTTTAAGAGTTCTTTGTTCGATATTTGAGGATTTGAGGATTTACCAATCTATTGGCACGACTAAGTTTAGGGCATGGCTCTGAGACCATGTTAAACGAACACGACTCTCCACAATGGTATGATATTGTCCACTTTGAGCATAAGCTCTCATGGCTTTGCTTTGGGCTTCCCCAAAAGGCCTCATTCCAATGGAGTTAGTATTCCTCACTTATAAACCCATGATCACACCCTAAGTTAGTCGATGTGGGACTTCCATCATCCAACACCTCCCCTCGAACAAAGTGTGCCTCCCCTTAATCGAGGCTCGACTCCTTTGGAGTCTTAGTCATTTTTGACGGCCTTCGAGGAGGGGCTTAGCTCCTTTTCTTTAAGAGTTCTTTGTTCGATATTTGAGGATTTGAGGATTTACCAATCTATTGGCACGACTAAGTTTAGGGCATGGCTCTGAGACCATGTTAAACGAACACGACTCTCCACAATGGTATGATATTGTCCACTTTGAGCATAAGCTCTCATGGCTTTGCTTTGGGCTTCCCCAAAAGGCCTCATTCCAATGGAGTTAGTATTCCTCACTTATAAACCCATGATCACACCCTAAATTAGTCGATGTGGGACTTCCATCATCCAACACCTCCCCTCGAACAAAGTGCGCCTCCCCTTAATCGAGGCTCGACTCCTTTGGAGTCTTAGTCATTTTTGACGGCCTTCGAGGAGGGGCTTAGCTCCTTTTCTTTAAGAGTTCTTTGTTCGATATTTGAGGATTTGAGGATTTACCAATCTATTGGCACGACTAAGTTTAGGGCATGGCTCTGATACCATGTTAAACGAACACGACTCTCCACAATGGTATGATATTGTCCACTTTGAGCATAAGCTCTCATGGCTTTGCTTTGGGCTTCCCCAAAAGGCCTCATTCCAATGGAGTTAGTATTCCTCACTTATAAACCCATGATCACACCCTAAGTTAGTCGATGTGGGACTTCCATCATCCAACACCTCCCCTCGAACAAAGTGTGCCTCCCCTTAATCGAGGCTCGACTCCTTTGGAGTCTTAGTCATTTTTGACGGCCTTCGAGGAGGGGCTTAGCTCCTTTTCTTTAAGAGTTCTTTGTTCGATATTTGAGGATTTGAGGATTTACCAATCTATTGGCACGACTAAGTTTAGGGCATGGCTCTGATACCATGTTAAACGAACATGACTCTCCACAATGGTATGATATTGTCCACTTTGAGCATAAGCTCTCATGGCTTTGCTTTGGGCTTCCCCAAAAGGCCTCATTCCAATGGAGTTAGTATTCCTCACTTATAAACCCATGATCACACCCTAAATTAGTCGATGTGGGACTTCCATCATCCAACACCTCCCCTCGAACAAAGTGTGCCTCCCCTTAATCGAGGCTCGACTCCTTTGGAGTCTTAGTCATTTTTGACGGCCTTCGAGGAGGGGCTTAGCTCCTTTTCTTTAAGAGTTCTTTGTTCGATATTTGAGGATTTGAGGATTTACCAATCTATTGGCACGACTAAGTTTAGGGCATGGCTCTGATACCATGTTAAACGAACACGACTCTCCACAATGGTATGATATTGTCCACTTTGAGCATAAGCTCTCATGGCTTTGCTTTGGGCTTCCCCAAAAGGCCTCATTCCAATGGAGTTAGTATTCCTCACTTATAAACCCATGATCACACCCTAAATTAGTCGATGTGGGACTTCCATCATCCAACATCCACAACCACGCTTTGAATTTGAGGAGGCTTTTGGACATTTCTGTTGGGTATAGTCGGGAGTGAGTCCCACGTTGGGTAATTTAGAAAATGATCATGAGTTTATAAGTAAAAGAGTACATCTTCATTGGTATGAGGCATTTTAAGAAATCCCAAAACAAAGGCCTGAGAGCTTATGTTCAAAGTGGACAATATCATACCATTGTGGAGAGTCGTGATTCTTAACAATTTCTACTCCATGGATTGTGACACGCTGCAGTATTCAAGGTGGTCGAAACATCTTTTTATATATATATTGATTCCTAACAAATTAAGTTGAAAATTGATACAAACACATTTATTGATTTAATACATGATATAACCTGTCATAAAAGAATTTTAATAGAGCAAAACTTTGAATTACGACTCTACTGTTGTGTCTCTCGTGTTAAGAATGAGACTCTACTGCTGTATTAAGAATGAGAGATAGATGAAAGTATGATCTTCACTGACACCTAAAAATGAGGAAAAATATATATCTAACTAAAATCTTGTAAATAAGATAAAATACACTGCCAATCAAATTCTAAACTAAAATATATACTAACCACCTTCAAAAATATAACTAAATATCAAATCCTAACCTAAAATATACTACTCATCACCTAAAATATATATTATCCATCTTCAAAAATAAAAAAATATTAACTGATTATGAATATCTAAGATATACTCCATAATTAATTATTAAAATATATTCTCTAAATATCATATCTTAATATGTTGTAACGTATCAAACCTTCGGATATACTCTATAACTAATTATTAAAATATATTATCTAAATATCATATCTTAATACGTTGTAACGTATCAAACCTTTGGTGAATTTCTTAGAAGCAATAATTAGGTCAAAGGCTTTATGAATGGAATTAAGCAAAATTCGAGTCACCACATATTAACAATTAACAACCATATGAAATTACAAGAAGTATAAAAATATAATATCGCCCAACTAGCTTGATTTGAAATTCGAGATGACCGAACCCATAAAATCCCACCATTTTCTTAAAAAATATTATCTTAGTGTGATTAGATTTCTACCTCACTAAAATTATTGCCCACACTTTATCAAACATTTGCTATACAATCTTGTTAAAATTATTTGAGTCCAATATGAAGAAAAAAAAAAAAACTTTTCTTGGTTAAAAAAATTGTAAGGCTAATGTGCGAGATGCAATAAGGTACGCCTCATCTCCTAAAATCAAACTAGGTAAAAAACTTCGATTATTCAAAATGAATAAATCAAATAAAAATGAAAATAAGAATTAAAAAAAAAAGTATAATGGTCGTTGCACGAGAATAATTTATTTATCAGTGATATTGTAACAACTCAAGTCTACTACCAGTAGATATTATCCACTTTAGTTTGTTATATATCATCGTCAGTCTCACAGTTTTAAAACGTGTCTACTAAAGAGAGGTTTCCAAGAAATTTTCAGATATTCTATGTTAAGATATGTATGATATTTTTCGAAATAGGTATATAATTCAAGTCAATTTGAAAAAAAAAAAAAAAATCCTTACGATGGTTTCATGTGTGGGGGGCAATTGTATTTGAGTGGGATTTATTCAAATCATG